GGGCCACCTCTTTTAGGAGCTCTGGTAGCATAGTGCCTAAGGCACTTGACTGCTAACCAGAAAGCTGGCAGTTCGAACCCACCAGCCACTCCTCAGAAAGAAGATGGGGCAATCTACTTCCATAGTGATACTGCCTCGGAAACCCAAGGAGGGGTCACTATGAGTTGGGTCCGACTCAACAGCACATAACAACAACAACAGTAAGTTATACTTTCCTGCTTACGAGGAGAAAGAAAGCAAGTCCTCAAAGGTTCATATCAACCTGAGAGTTAATACATAGAAATACATTTAAATTATCATTTATGGCCAGGATTTTTCTTTCTTGATGCAAAATTTATGAGAGATAGCAATTCAAATTCTTCCATTTTTAATGAGTGAGTGCAGACATAAGACATAATATCTTTACTCATTAGTAGAAACACTTTCAGATAAGAAATTGATGTAAGAGAAAAAATCAGAACAGAAGAAAATCCTCTATTGTTCCAATCAGGAACTAGATCAGCACTACTATGCAGTCTTTCTGGCATACTCAGACACTTCCAGTGCTCATTTGTTTGTCAATTATAATAAAAATATGCAACATTTTTATAATTTCTAAATTATATAAAAATAACATTTATATAATGCTGTACAGTATGCAAAAGACTTTTAAATATGTAAACTGTGAATCTAAATTAATATTGAATAAGATTTTATAACTACAATAAACACCATTTTACTTCTGCTTTTTAAATGATTAGAAAATTACTTTCTAAATGATTAGAAAAATCCATTATTAAAAAATTAAATCAATAAAACAACAGTAGATTTAAAAAAAAACAAAAAAAAAACCTGCCATCAAGTGATTCTAACTCATAGTGACCCAATAGGACAGAGTAGAATTGTCCCATAGGGTTTCAAGGCTATAAGTCTTTATGGAAGCAGATTGCTTCATCCTTCTCCCATGGAGCAGCTGGTAGGTTCCAACCATCCACCTTTTGGTTAGTAGCTGAGTATTGTAACTACTGCACCACCATATCTCCTTAGTAGATAAAAATAATACACATATTTTAAAAGGTTTTGCAACATCTATATAGAAGAAATTGGTATTTAATTATATGTCATTGTTTTATATTCATTCAAGAAGATTTCCAAAGACACGCTTATCAATGCTTTGTTTCTTTAGTGCTGATAATTATCTTTTGTTAAATTTGTTTTTAATCCAGTCCTTAAATTACTAAGGTCTTTCTTTTTATTACCCTGGGTCTGAATAATTGAAATTAAAGTTCTGAATTACTAATAGGAAATAAATGTTCTTTCAACAGGTTGACCTAAAGTACCACTTTTTATTTTTTTTGTGCATTGTGAACTGCACACAATTTTTCAAATTCCAGGCTGTGGAATAAAGTTTTCTGAACTGTACACCTCGGAGTGTTTATCTTTAAAATGTCAAGATTCCAATAGATGTGTAGAAGGGAACAATTTTCCTCTCTCCTGTTAATTCAGCAGAGGTCCGTAAAATAGCATCACTTGCCTCAGTCCCTCACTCACTCCCCTACCAAGAGAAGGCATATTTCCTATCAGTAAGACTGAAGAACACCCCCATTCTTTCTTCTGAGGTAAAGGATACTGGGTCAGGGGTCAGAGCCTGTCTTCTAGAGGCCTGTATGGAGACCCAGCTCTGTCTGCACTCAGTCTCAGGACTCAACCTTGAGCTGGTTGAGTTTGTGAGTGTTTCATAGACATTCCCTCTACCAGGCACCCCAAAGTCTAGATTGGGGAGGTAAAAGCAGTGAAGCAAGTCTGCCTCTAACAATGGTTACACTATATTCAACCTACACAACACTTGGCTTCTTTTCTATTACTGAAAAGTAGCAATTTTTCAGCTCATCAAACCCCAAGACCTTTATGACCCCTTCTGGCAATAAGAGTTCATTATTTCATTCACAGCCACTACCCATCTATTCGTAGTGGCTTACGTGTTGCTATGATACTGAATAGGTTTCAGCAGAGCTTCTAGACCAAGTTAGACCGGAAGAGAAGCCTTGCAATCTACTTTCAAAAATCAGCCAGAAACCTTATGGATCACAATGGAACACTGTCCAATTCATTTTTGGGTGGAGTCACCACAAACTGGAGCCAACTCAATGGTAGCTAACAATAATACTATTCTATTTAAGTCATACAATTCTAAATTAATCTTGAGGGATAAAATTACATTTAATCAAAATAGAGAATCCTAGCACACACTGGTCATTTAATATATAAAAAGAGATTTAAAAAACAAAAACTCACTCTCACATCCTTTGAACGGGGTCCATGTCAAATCTTCCTGACAAGTAACAGTTGTAGGCTCATCTGCAGCGGGTCGATAGCCAGAATTGCAGTGGTACCTCAACACAGTCCCAACACTATACAGTTGGTCTTCTCTTGGCTTGTACCTCTTATATATTTCCCAGTTAGCGTGAGGGATGTTTGGCAAATTGGTACAACTGTCTGCTCACAGAGGAAGAAGAAGAGAAAAGGACACTGTTACTAGGGACTTCACAGATACGCATGAGCCTGTCTTATCAAAGGGTGTCATGTGTTCATTCAGCCCAGGAGCCAGCTGCAGTCACTGATGAATCAGCCACAGCAGAAAATATCTGTACACATGTTCCCAAATGTGCACAGCACCAAAGAGGCAGTCACTGATGGTGCTGCCAAGTGGTCTCCTTGTATTGTGTTAAACATACAAAATATTAATTCTCCTTCCTCTTCACCGTACTTCATATAGTTTGGTGTCCAAATTGAAACATGAAGCTTGGCAGGAGAACTCTTGCAGACAAACAAATCTTTTTATTGTTTCCTGACTGACTGGGGAAAATAGATAGGAATCATTCCTTTCACCAGGAACTTTATCATTTATGGCTTATTGTTGTTGTTATGTGTCCTCAAGTCGAACCCAACTCATAGCGACTCCTCCTTGGGTTTCTGAGGCAGTGTCACTACGGAAGCAGTCAAATGCCTTAGGCACTACACTACCAGAGCTCCTTTCAAGGGCTTGGCAAGAACAAATGAAGCTCCAAGCATCTTTTGAAACTGGGTGTTGGGATCTTGCCTTCTTTTCTCTTCCCTCATGTTACCAGTTCACGTGATATGGAAATAAAATACAAACAACTGCCAAGTGGGTGTTTATTACATTTTATATTCAAACATTTTTAATGGCACAGCTGTTAGCCTCCACTAATTGATAGCTGATTGCTATATTATTTTTGACAACTTCTTGGGGCATATATTGCTCAACAGTCTGGTCTAATTACAGTCAGTCTCCTTAGCACAGGAAGGGTGCTGCGAGTCTTGAAGCTTGCTCCAAATCTCCTCTGGGCAGAACCTCTATGCTATGGGTTAGGAGCTGTGGGGTGTTGGGGGAGGGAGAGCTGGAGGGTCAGGAGGTATGAGGAATCGTAGGAACTGGCACTGTCATCTGGCTGCCACCTCCATTCAATATAGTTATCTCACAACCCAACGCCAGGGAAAATGAGATTTGCCAATTATACTGGCTGTCAACTCTACCCATAATAGCTCTTCTGTTCGAGGAAGCTGGGGAAGATGGAGCTGCTACTTGGCTGCTGAGGTGACTAGAGAAACTGTCCTGAAACACAGAGCTGTGCACGAGAGGGGTACTCATACCCCACCCGGTCCTATCTACAGAGTGGGAGTTGGTGAAGGAACAGACACTGATGTCCAGCTACTCTTCACTATAGGCCTACTGCAGCATGGAGCTGTGAAAAAATGCAATCTCATCATGTTGACTGGGCGCCAAATCCATCAGAATAACTTCCATTCCAGAGAGCTGCTGGGGCAGGATGAAGTCTCTAGTTCTCATTAGATGGTCTTCAACTGTTCCTACAACATCGCTATAGATTTCTTTTTTAATAAATGATTCTCAACTTTTTGTAAGCCATTTGATCAATTTCCAGACACTCGGAATGATTTTCGTTCATAATTTAATAGATATCTCTCCAGAAAAGAACCGTCCCCAAGCTCTTCATACCACTATTCCAGAAGTCCCCAGGGTAGGTTTCTTGAAGTTTCATGAAGAGAAAGGTAAAAGCACAAGGCAACAATGGCTTCTACCCATTACCAAGTATATGTCCTGGGGCAAGTCATTTAACCTCTGTGAACAGTTTCCTCATCTATAAAATGAGGATAATATTAGTATTTACAATTGTTGAGACCAAAACCCCAAACCAAACTCACTGCCGTTGAGTCGAATCTGACCCATAGCGACCCCTCCTTGGGTTTCCAAGGTAGTATCACTACGGAAGTAGATTGCCCAACCTCCCTTCCAAGGAGTGTCTGGTGGGTTTGAACCGCCAGCCTTCTGGTTAGCAGTCAAATGCCTTAGGCACTATACCACCAGAGCTCACAATTGTTGAGAGAATTCATTAATGCTTGTAATGCACCTAGACTAGTGTCTAGCTATCATTATTACTATTATCATTATTTTTAATGACACATGAGTTTATAATTTCTGAGTAAAAGTATCATAACTAGTTCATACAGTACACCTGCGCAAGTGAGAGAAAACCTTTCTTCCTCAAATCATTTAACTTTCATCTTTTAAAACAAATACCATCAATATAATAATCTTGTTAAAACAATACAATTTTCTATCAACCGCCAGAAAATTGTTGTGATAAATATGTTGTTGTTGTTGTTACGTGCCATCTAGTCAGATCCAACTCATAGTGACAAACCCCTCCTTAGGTTACCAAGGCAGTATCACTATGGAAGTAGATTGCCCAACCTTCCTTCTGAGGAGTGACTGGTAGGTTTGAACCACCAGCCTTCTTGTTTGCAGTCAAGTACCTTAGGCACTACACTACCAGAGCTCCCTGTGATAAATATACTAGCCCACAATGTCTACAGTGTGAATACTGCCCCCTTAGAACTGGGGTGTGGACAACTTGCACAACTGTGTGTGTCAGCCCTTGTGATGTTCCATGACCTTGCACAGTGTACCGAAATCATTCTTACCTCCACAAGAAAAAATGGAGGAGATTGAACTTTAAATTGCTATTGTGATTCAAAGTGGGCCTAGGCCTGCAAGTGTGTCCCCACTAACATTTCTTGGTGCTTTTAGATGATCTGCCGAACACTGGAATTCCTTCATGGTCCATACTCACTGAGCTCACAGATGGGAGGAGAAGGATGCCAGTTGTTATCTTCTTCACAATGGATTAATCTGCTGCCTCTGAGGACATAACCAGCCTTGCAGTTGAACATAACAGAGTCTTTGTAAATATAGGTGGGTCCAAATCCAGACTGTATCATTCCATTTGGAACCTCTGGCCGAGGACAGGTGATTTCTAAAGAATCATAAGAGAAGACAAGTGGGTTATAAAAAAAAAAGAAAAAAGAAAGATATGAATCGTAGGTACTGCTAATCCAGTTTCAAGTATAGAAGCACTTATCAAGCAGATACATGGAAGGCATTTTAAAGTAAATAGGTGTAGGCTCTGGTGGCACAGTGGATAAAGCATTCAGCTGTTAACCAAAAGATTGGATGTTTGAACCTACCAGCTGCTCTGCAGGAAAAAGATGAGTCAATCTGCTTCCATAAAGATTTACAGCCCCGAAATAAGTCAGTCACAAAAGGACAAATATTGTATTAGTCCGTTATTGTAAAAGTTAAGGAAAGGTTTAT